GAGACATGCTGCTGTTCCTGTTTCTGGTGGGAGGTAGGGAAGAGTTCAACAGAATCCCTGAGCAAGAACTCCAACACCCCCCTTCCCCCATCTGTCTGCCTGTGATGTGTCTTTCCCAAACTTTATATTTAAAGATGTTATAAAGCTCCTATTTTTTTTAAGAAATGCAAACGCCATTCAGTTTTCCCATCTCTTTAACATGAATTCCTTCTGTTTTCCCCAATCACAAGCTAACTCCTCAAGGAGGAAGCACGAGTGTGCATGGGGCCGGGTCAGGTCTGGACAGTAGGGACAGGAGTGGGGCTAGAAAGCAGCATGAGGGATCAGAAAGGCCATGAAATGGGGCCGGGGCGAAGGCGCCACATCCTTCTCTCTCCTGTAAGTTTGGGTACTCCTTTTCCCCACTAAAGGATCAGTTTCAGAGAAGGCAAGAAAGGGCTCGAGAGGGCCTGGGGGGGTTTGGGTGAGCAAGGATATTAGGCTGGTGAGTGCTGCCAGGAAAGGCAAGTTCCAACAAACGGCTTCGTTCCTGAGAGGGAAGACCTAGAAGGGAAGGAGACTTTCCATCCTTTTGGGCTGGGGACCGGGCGGATGGCGGTCTGGGAGGCTGGTGGGGTGCAGGTAGGCCGGCAGAGTGTCGGGGTGGAAGGCTGACGTTCAAGGCTCCCAGAGTCGGGAAGGTTATAAAACCTGGGGTGGGTGCTTGGGGGCCCGGAAGGGCAATGCCGAGCAGGTGGAGGGGCTGCTGCCCAGGCTATGGGCACTGCCCAGGCGGGGCATCTGGGCGGGAAAGGGGGCAGCGCCGTCAGGGCCGGAGGTGGGCGCGGGGCGGTGACGGTCGGGCAGGAGGGAGATGGGTGGGGGCGGCCGGGGCTGCGCGGGCAGGGGACGCCGGCGGGGCCGGGAGGGGAGCGGGCCGGGAGGGGAGCGGGGCCGGGAGGGGAGCAGGTGGAGAGCCCCCGCGGGCGGGAGGGGAGGCAGGGGAGGAGCTCGCAGAGCGCGGCGGGGCGGGACCCACCTTGGCGGCGTCCGCCGTCCGCACCAGCAGCAGCGCCGACAGCGCCAGGCAGGCCAGGCCGAGCGGGGAGCCGGGGTGCAGGAGGCCTCCCCACCGAGGCGCCATCGCGGCTACAGCGAGCGGCCCCGCAGCCCGGGCCCCCAGACCGGCTCCGGCTCGGGCGCCTCCGCCCGCACTTCCGCCCGGGCCTCGCGTCACCCGCCGCCGGGCGGGCCCGAAGCCTCCGCCCCGGAAACGGTTCCGGGCGCGCAGGGCCCCGGGCTGCGCGGCGCCCGCCCGGCCTGCGCTCGGACCCGGGGGCCCCGGGGCGCGGAGGGGTCCTTGGCGGGCTGCCTCGGCCGGCAAAGCTCCGAGGCGCAGGCATGTCTTTCCGGGGCGCAGACGCCGCGGCGCTGGGGCGCCTTCCCGCCAGGGAGACCCCCGCCAGCCGGGAAGCGCGGGGGCCCCGTCTGAAGGTCGGGGGTCGCGCAGGGACTCGGGACTGACCGGCCTCCCATGCGCCTCCCAGACGCCATCTCCCCCCTTTCCTTCCGCCCCCCAGGTTTCCAACAGCCTGGGCCCTGCCTTCGCGGGTGCGGCCCCCGCTGGCTCCGAAAGGTGTGAAGTTGACGAAAGACCCGAAACCGGTTTGGCTCAGTGGATAGAGCGTCGGCCTGTGGACTGAGAGGTCCCGGGTTCGATTCTGGTCAAGGGCACATCCCCAGTAGGGGGTGTGCAAGAGTCAGCTGATCAATGATTCTCTCTCTATCCCTCTCCTTTCCTCTCTGTAAAAAATCAATAAGATATATTTAAAAGAAAAAGAAAGACCGGTCCTAGTGGCCTCCTGCACCCAGGACTCCAAAGATGGGGGGTGGCTGGCCGCTAAGTCTTAGGGAAGCGCTGACCCGCCTTTCCCCCGGGGCCATCCTCTGCAAGGAATTTAGAAGGACCTTGGAGATGGCACCGTGTCCTCCATTAGTGGAGATAATAGTTTAAAAGGTACCGGGTTCATCACAAGCCCTACAGATTTGCTGAATGACCTTGGGCAAAACTTCCTGGTCTCCTTGGCTCAATAGGAAGTTGAAGTCTTCATGGATTTAAAATTCTGCTCCCATGGAATACCCATGTGTCTTTCATATACATTCTTAAAAGGTGGCCTCCTATTTGTGGAAATGTTTTTTTACCAGAGCATTTTTATGATTTTTTTTCTCCTTTGATTCCTGATGCTAGAGTTTAACACAAGAACATGTCTGATATTGCACCAAATATATTTAGCCCCTTTAAGTCTCAAAATGGCAAGTAATATCGGAGTTTTTCTATTTACAGGCAAGACAGGCCTTGGTGCCCACTTGTCCCCCCTTCCTTTTCTCTGCTTCCCTGGGTTTCTCTACTTTATTCCTTCTGTCTAATAAGGGCCCTCTCACTTTCTGAGGCCTGAAAAATCCCCTGGATGGTCGAGAGTGAAAAGAGCCTTCTCTAAATTTAAGTGAGAAGGTCTGAAGGTTAGGAAGCAGAAGTGACAATTGATGTATCTGGGGCCAAGGTTTTGCCAGCTTTATCTGCAGTAGTCAGATAGCTCTCGACTGTTGAGAAATACAAAATTAACTTTATTGGACAGTTAACTTCTCTACCCCATCCTTTCTGACCTCCCCAGCACTTTCCCAGGCCACACCAGTGCCTGAGAACAGATGAAGTCACAAACAGCATCAATGATGATAGTTACTGGGATTGGGCCTTTAGTGGTTGTGGCGGGACATAGGTGTGCACACACACAGTTCTTCCAGTTATTTCTGAGCATGAGTCCTCTCCTTTACCATGTGCATCACTTGGCCCTTTTAGTTAGATGTTCTGCCCTCTGCTGCTGGTGTGCCATGCTATCACTTGCTTGTGCCCACTATGACGACAATCTATGAGGCCAGGATATTCTCTCTCTGTTCCTGGAGATTTTGGTGTCCCTATTGCTGACAAGTTACTGCAGCCCCCCAAAAACAAAGCAACACAAATTTAGTATCAAAGCAGAGATAATTTTTAAAGTTTCTTTCAGAGGAGTGCCAAATCAGTATTATTGGTTTCCCAGTGTCTTAAAGAAATACTTAAGAAAACAGTATATCCTTTCTGACCACTAAGATTTTCAAATAAATATTACATTACATTATTTTTATTCATTTTTATGTTTACTAGTATTTTAAAAAAAATTAAATAGTATTTCACAGCAGACCCTGAGCTAACCTTGTACACAATCAATTTCTACTGTGCATATACTTACCTTGTAGCTCTCTCTTCTGGGATTTATCTTCATATTTCTTAGCAACATCCTTATACTGTTATTGATTTTTTTTTCCAGTTTGGTCTATTATTTTACTACTTCCTATAAACAAATCATCTATATTTATGTTCTAATACACTCTCATAAACGTTTCTTCATCTTCTATCCCTCAATATATCTACCACCTTATTTATGTAAATTGCAATCCATTATATTATGACTGTGTACCAATTATTAATAATTTATAATATTTGCAGTAATATATTTTTTAAAAAGTATTCCTATTTTATATATATATATATATATATATATATATATGTAATTTTATTATTGATTTCAGAGGGAGAGAAACATCAGTGATGAGAATCATTGATTGGTTACCTCCTGTACGCCCCCTACTGGGAATGGAGCAGGGAACCCAGGCTTGTGTCTTTGACCGAAATTAATTAAGGGACCCAGGCCCCTTTGGTCCACAGGCTGATGCTCTATCTGCTAAGCCAAACCAGCTAGGGCTACATTTACTTTTTTTAATTGAAGTTAGCCATTGCCTCCTTTTCCATGCTTTCTTAATTACCTAGTATTCAAGTATCTATAATTTATCCCAAACTTGTCTCAAAACATTCAAAAACATCAAGTAACTTATCAGTTTAATTTTTAATTTGGAAATGACCCTCCAGGAATCCTCCTCCTCCTTCATTCTGGAAAAGCTGCTCTCTAAGCCTACTGCATGGTTTTTGTCCTAGAATGTGTCCTACTTTTTTTTCAGAAATATTTCCATATCCAACTCTTTATTTTGAATTTTTACATTTCTGTTATATTTTAAAGTTACTAGAGCACTTTCATGTTCATCCTTCCCCAGGCCCAATAGCATTCTGTTCCATTTGTGTGCTATAATATCTTATTTCTCTGAGGATATTTCTAGTGCTTTGTTTCTTGACTTGTCTGTTTGAGTTTTTCAGTTTTTGTTTGTCTTTTCTATCCTTCAAAGCTGAGTAAAAACTCATTTAAGACATTTCTTAAATGTCGGAGATCCCTGGCTATCCATGCATATGTGAGAGTGAGGCATTGACCGGAATCGAACCCGGGACCTTTCAGTCCACAGGCCGTCGCTCTATCCACTGAGCCAAACTGGTTTTGGCACATTAGCACTCTTGATGGCACTTTATGTTTTAAAATTGTACTAACCTTTGATTTCTCTGACAACAAAAGCATTCTCTCCTTAGTTTGTTGCCTGAGAGGAGCTTTTTGTCATGCTGAGGTATCAGCTTGAAATGGTTGTCAGTTCGAAAACTGAGACATTTTTTTTCTGTGAACAACTTGGATGAGAACCCACTTGTTTGAGATGGGAGACTTCCTAGAAACGAGGTTAGACTGTATTTCCTTTTCTGGAAGTAAGTGTTCTCATGCTGCTGAGCCACCATATTGTGAGGGAATTAAAGCTGTGAGGGAACACCATATGCCAACTACTTTACAGGGATTATCTCATTTGATTCTGTAAAGTTAGTATTATTATCACTTGTTTTATAGATTACAAAACCAAGCTCAGAGAGGTCCACTGATTTGCCCAAGGGCATACAGGCAGTAAGAGGGAGAGCTCAAGGGCCAGTAGCAATAGAGGAAATGAGAGCAACAAGGCCTAGTGTTCAGAAGACCAAGAGACAGACACCCATGCAACTGGGCTGTTCCCAGGCTCCCCCACCTTCCGGGGCCTCAACAGACAAACATCAGACGAGCAAACAGAAGGGAATATTTCACTTTATTGTTAATTATGTCAATTTCACAAATAAACCCAACACAGCCAGAAACACTGAGCAGATAAAGTGCTAATGCAGAGGCCTGGAAACAGGAGGGAGGAATCCAGTCCATCTCCTCCATGTCCCCAACCTGGAAAGATATTTCTATCACACGAAGTGAGGATAGCCAACATACCAAGCAATCCATTCTATAGACACTTTGAGCTAAGGGATAGGAAATCTTACCAGGTGGGGTCTGTGCAGGGCAAGGAAATAGAAAAGTCAGAAAACATTTATTCCACAAATAAGTCAGGCATAGAAATGCCAAATGGCAAAAACAATATTTTCTAAACTTTTCTGTATTTGAGATGGACACCTAATAAGGAAGGCGAGGGGTACCAGTTCTACAGGGTTACTTCTTGCTACTGCCTGTCTTCAGAACTGTGACCTAGGTAGACTCTCTTCCAACACCCTCCATCAGAGGCACCAGAGAGAATATTCTAGGATTCTGAGAAGAACTGACCTTACCTGCTTACCTTACCAGCCCCACTAAAGTAGACCCAGTGCTCCCTAAGGAATATCAAGGAGATATGGACTACCAGAGTAATCAACTTAGCAGCATTTAAAGAAGATTAATGGAGCTCAAGATTCCTCATAATTGTCATCAGACATTATAAGGTACCTCTATCAAGCCCCAGGTTTAAAGCGCAATTATTCAAATAAATTCAAATGATTTCACTGCATTGAGACTATGATACCCTAAGCTTAAACGGCCCCAACTGTTTCTATTTCAAAATTAGAAAACCACTGACTGATTCTCAGAGGCCACTAAAGGTCATCTGATCATCCCCCCAATGCCTCAGAATCCTGAACTCAAAGGGCCAGAATCAGTCGCATCTTTCCCTGAGAATTCCTGGTCCACTCGTCCAAAGGGAAGCCACATAAAGGTAAAGGAGGCCCAGGAACTTCCAACATGCTTCACTTGTGGCCAAGAGTCAAGGCTCGGAGTGGAACTTTCAACTAGGGAAGGAGGGGTGAAGCATTTTCACCTCAGTCCTAGGATCAGCAGCAGGCCAAAGTGCTGCTGTGAGAGGTAGGGGAGGAGAGTAGAGAGACTTCAATGGGGTGGAGTTGGAGGGGGCACTGAAGATTGGTCACCTGAGATCACCCCTGCTGAGCTTCAAATGTGACCTCCTCTACTGTGGCTATGCTTAGTTTTCTATCTCACTTCCTCTATAGGGGCTGATAAGAAGGGGGCCTAAGGATGACCCCATGATAACCCGCTGTTCAAGTGGAGGTCACCAACTTTTAGTCTTTAGGAAGTTTCCATAAAGCTGAAAACATTCATAGTTCCAAAGAGCTGCTTGGTAGGGATTGTTGGTGGGACCTGGCACAGTTCAAAGTGGGATCCATTAAATACTCTGGGAACTAATGCTATGAATCAAGGGTAGAACTGGGATTCTCCTAAAGAGATATTCACAGCTGGCTATTTTTCTGACTTCTCCAGGTACTTCCATGACCAAACTGAAGAGGAAATTCCACTATAGGTATCTGTGTGTCCAAGATGACACCTCTCCCCCCCCCCCCCCCCCCCCCCCCAACAAAGAGTTCCAAGAAGTCCCTGGGATTTTCAGCTCTTTGAGAGAGGTCAGGAAATATTGTGCAGTCAGAAAAAGTTGTCCTTAATACTGCCAGCCTACCCCTCTGCCTCTTTCCTAATACCAGGACAGAGCTGAAGAGTTCCCAATCCTCAATACCTGGCCTAAAGTTTCATCCTGACCATCCCAGAAAGATTTCCCTATGCAGGCCTTCCCACCAACTGATTCTACCTAGTACTCCCTTCTATTCTAGACCTGCTCTAGGTCTGCTTTACCTACTCCTGTTCTCAGCTACTTGAGTCCATGGCAGACAAAGATCCAGAGTCTACACCGAGACAGCGACTGGATCTTGGGAATATTAATGTCTAACAATGATGCCCAGATTATTTACTGAAGCCTTCAATTCCATCCCAGAGAGCAATTAATGTCCTTCTGTTTGTGGTTCCTTCCCCTCTTCCCCTCCAAAAAGTTCCACATCTCATTGATCTTTGTATCCTCAGCTTTTAAGCACTAAGATAAGGGCCTAAAGGTGTCAGTTTGGGTCAGGGGACTTTTAGTGGGCTTAGCGCACAGGAAAGAGATCTACCCAGATCCTCCTTGCATCCAGCCCCAAAGCATACTCTTCCCCTACCCTACCTTTTTACAAGCCCTCATTTCTTCATCTGCCTCTCAAGGCTGGGGCACAAATGAAGTAGTAAGGGAGAATGAACAGAGCCTTGGCTCATCAGGTCTCAGTTCTGGGTGCCTTCTGCCGCGGACTCCGTATATGAGCTTAGGCAATTCACTTGCCTCTCTGGAACTTTATATGATGTTTCTGGGCTCTTTTAGATTTCAGATCTATCCATACTTGAGAAATCAATGAATGAAGGAGAGGAAATATTAATTCTGAGACATAGGCATCCTGCACCTCTCTGAGTCAGCTGAAAGGAGGTAAAGGCCAGGTTCCTGTTTATTATATTATACATTTTAGCTATCGTAAAAGAAGCAAGTGTACTTATGGAGAAATGGAACCTGGCAGCTCCTCTACTTGACACATAAAAGCAAATTCCTGGAAGAAGCATAAAAATAGGCCACAAGTGAGACCTGGCAGTGTCAAAAAGGTCTAGAAATTAAGTGATCAAAGGAGTAAAAAACAATGGCTATAATCAGACAAGATCTCTAAAGCACAGACTAAAGTCTAGAGAGGTTTGAGTGGGAAGGAGCCCTGGAGCTTCTATTAGAGAAAAGGACTTGGTCCACAGCAAGTTGCTACTGCATTTGGTTCAAACCCAGTTTCCTCCATCTGTCAACCTGGTGTGTGTGCATATGCCGCAGGCTGGAGTTATGCTTCTGAAGTGCTGAAATGAAAAAGAAACAGAAGAAATGATACCAAATTCAAGGAAGTTAGGAAGGCAAGTACAAGTTTAGTTAAGCTACTCATTTTCCCCAACACTCTGTGCAGTATCATCACTGTTCATTCTGAAATGTGAGCTAGAGAGTTTTGTAAGATAGTGAAATCTGGGAGTGAGGAGAGATGTATCTGTGGTATGACTGAAGGTCAAAGACAGGACACAACCCAGTATCCTATATGGGAAATCCTCTGGTTAATGGCAAATGAATTTGACTTGATCTGACCCATTTGAACACTCACTTGTCTTCATTCAAAGAAACTGTCTCCACAAAAGGGATTTCTTCTTTGTCTGTTTTCCCCATGATCAGCTGGTGCTTATCCAAGTTTATGATGCACTGAAAACAAAGGAGATTCACTGTCAATTATCTCACTTTGGAGGTATCCATATAAGATGACTCCTGCCTGGCCGGCATTCCTCAGAGGTTGAGCATCAACCTATCAACCAGGAAGTCACAGTTTGATTCCCAATCGGGGCACAATGCCTGTGTTGTAGGCTTGATCCCCAGTAGAGGTCATGCAGGAGGCAGCTGATTCACGATTCTTTCTCATCATCGATGTTTCTATCTCTCTCTGCTTTCCTCTCTGGGGAAAAAAAAAAATTGACCCTTGCCTCAGAAACAAAGTGTCAAAGAGAAAGTAGAATTATCCTACCTTCAAAGATCGGAGAGTCTGGAGACCAAGGGATAAGTTCTTCTCATTGTCCTCTAATAAAAAATAATTAAAGTTCAACCATTTCTATACTGGTTTAGAAGTCAGCCTTATCACCATTAGGTTCTATCCATCCAACCAACCAACCACCTGTCCATTTATCCAATAATCATCTATTGCATCCATCTAGTAAATATCTGTTGTTCATCTACTTAATTTCCCCAGATTATTATAGCTAAAAGGTGATAGAACTAATAATCAAACTCCTGTCTTTTTAACCAAGATTCAAACTCAAGTACTTTTAAAGTAAAAACCAGGAACTTATAAGTAGTCTAGAATAGAGTACATGACGGAAAGTATGAGATGGTGGGAAATTATCAAGGTATTTATGGAAAAGGAGTAAGAGGATCTTGCCCTCTACCTCAAACCAGCTCATGGAAATCTCTGAAGGACCCTTTTCACAGGCAAACAAAATGTTTGCTGCCTTGCCTCCCCCCCTTTTAAGAGTAATTCTCACCTTGCCTTGAATGTAACCCAGGGTCCCACTGGTACTATAGAACAGACAAGGTCTATAGTACAGAAAAGTGAAAACCTGGGATTTTGAAGAAGTCAGGCATGGGATCTCATGTGGGTTTAGAAGTAGGGAGAAGATTTACATTAGGGTCCATAGGTCAGGTCCCCAATTCTACTCACCAACCACCGCTGCTGGGCAGTCCAGGCAAAGGGAGCCCAGTGTGATCACTAGGTGCTCAATCTGCCCCACTACTTTCAGATGCCGGGGTAGAGAAAGCTTCTCTCCTTCATGCTTGTGAGATTTGACATGCTCCTTGAGTCTGCACCAGAGGAGAAGATAGCAGAGGTTTCTGACGGAATCTGGCAATGTCTACCTTCCCACCCATGGTCGGAATTTTCCAAGGATTTCCTGGGATTAATTTACCAAGAAAGTGCTAGCCAGCCTATGCTTTTTTGTTTCAGCACTTTTTCCTAAACATGCCAGGGAATATAAAGAAAACTAAAGATTCATTTCCTGTTCTCAAAGAGATACCCCACTGTGTGCACTGATAAAAGTTAAGAGTTGACTCACTCAGAGAATCTATTCTGCATCCTTACATTCCCACCTGTGTGCAAGTTCAGTTAACACGTCCTTCTACCTATCTATGGATAATAGATCCCAGAGAGGGCAGGCCAGGTCTACGTTTAGAAAACACTATTCAATGTCTAATTTTTTCTATGTCTTTTTCATTTCAGTCTACCCTCATCAGTTAGTCTTATGCTATAAGTTTAGTGTCAGTAGGTGCATTGATATTGATATCAGCAATATCATGGAGAAAGTCCCAATTAATTTAACTTGTCTGTTCAGAGGAAGAAGGGGAAAAAAAACAACAGCGCCAAGGTTTCACAGTTATGTAATGTGATTGGAACAGCTAGCACCCGAGCTATTATGGGTTGGTGGATAAATACTTAATTATGGGTTTTCTGTGCCAGTACTTTTGCTTTACTCCACTTCCTATCTTTTAGTGTTATCACCCATCCAAAAGAAAAATAAGTGCAGTTTTACAGATGGTTATTAATTTGTCTGGAATCATGGCAGTCTGCTACCTACTAGTAATTATGCACAAGGACATGACAAGTCTTTCTGGAACCATCATGGTGCACTGTGCCTCATCTCTTCACCACATTAAAAAGCTCAGGATTCTTCGCACAAGAACACTTGTGTCCTGGACTCCCCAGTATGTACAAAACCCATAGAGGCTGCTTCAGAGTCACAATGATGGTGAGGGTTGAGGACAGGGTAGCAACAAGATGAAAAAGGTCATGTGGCAGAGGTCACTGATTATACAAATCAAGTCTTCTGCAAGCCCTACTTAAGAAGTTGGACATCGTGAAAGTAGTTTAAAATGGGCCATTATATCTACTTTAGTGATTGTTTCAATGTAGAGATTCGGGCTAAGGGATGACTTATTGTACTCAGTGATATAGGAGTGGAAAAGAATGTTGGATTGATCCTCCCAATTCTGGTCCCATCTGGTAATTTGGAGGAAAGAGAAGGAATGAGAAATCAAAGGACAGATGGAGTGAAAAGGAAGAAGAACATATCTGTCAGAGAACTGAAGACATTCAATTCTGAGCGGTGTCTGCCCCTCACACCCAATACCCAGCATGCTCAGCAGTAAGATCGAATGTTTGTCAGAGAGAGAAAAGGCACTAAAAGACCATTGGTTAATGACCCCCATGATGGTTCAGGCCTGGCAGCTATAGCAATCCTATTCTAAGTTCAGTTTCATGCTTTTGGGAAACAGGCAGTGTCACCTTCAGAAGGACCCTGAGTTAAGCTAAAGCCAACCACATCCCTGCTTTTACTCCTCGGGGCTACATCAACGGGACAGCTCCTCTTAATTTGTTATCTGGGCAGGTCAAAAATCAGGAACAGGACACGGCACACAATAAACCAAGAATCTCACCTTCTCTCCAGAGCTCTTATGTCTTTTCTCAAAACTTAACAGGTGGGAGTTAATGGAAAGTCTAAGGCTTGCCCAACTCACAGAATTCTCCCAGGTATCCGAGATCCCTCACTCTGTCCCATTACAAAGGACTGGTTCCAGTTGATATCTGAGTTCTGCACACTTCTCTCGGAGCCTCTGTGGAGACCCTCATCATCTCTAACATCAAAACAGACGCAGGCAGAGTGACTGGCATCTGAATTCCACCCAGTACAAGTAGCTACTTACCCCAGTCTATACACACAGGCTGAAGAGATGAGATTATATTGGCAGCCTGTGTCAATCAGGGCTTTCACATCCTTCCCAGCACACTGTGGAGAGGAACATGCTGTTCAATAGGAGCAAGGGAAGGGAGACCCAGAGAGCAAGGCGCAGATGTCATGTGAAAGGCAGGTTTGGAGAGCATCTTCACAATTATGGGTGTGTAGTGTCCCATCTTTACCCACTGCTAAGTCTCCTTTGAGAGGCCCCTTTTCTGCCTCAATCTAGAGATGACAGAAGATCCCAAAGGACTTTGGGTTTTTCATTCTATATATCAAGTAGTGTGTGTGTGTGTGTGTGTGTGTGTGTGTGAGAGAGAGAGAGAGAGAGAGAGAGAGAGAGAGAGAGAGAGAGAGAGAGAGCCCTTTGCAAATCTGATGAATGTTTGGTCCTTTTTCCCATGCACGCACATACAAAATACTGCACACACTTTCTGCCTTGCATGGAGTGCCCTCCTTGGAACTCATTTATGAATCTCATGATATAACCCATACTCTACAATTTTGAGGCGAGAGACCCACTTCTGATTATAATGAGCCCAAATCCTACCCCCCAGAAAACCCTGGAAAAGCTGTTCTCAGAACATTACCTGGCAAGAAACCAAAATCATCCCATCATCCTCAGACTTCTTCAGTCCCTCAGACTTAGCCTGATTGAGTTTGTTGGTCTTGGAGGTCCACGGGACACGACCGCTCCGGAGCTTAGACAGGTTGGTTTCCATGAGGCGCCTCTGCAGAATGTTATGCGGTTGCTTGAGGAATAAAAAGCAGAGGCTTCTAAATGACAGGCCATTTCCCCTTCTCCCACCGTCCCCCAGGTGCTGCTGAAACAATGCAGGACCTTCACCTAACTGAGCTCTACATCTAGTCTCCCTTCAAGTAGGGACTCCATTGGTACGGCCAGAGCAGGTACTATCAAGCAATTTGCAAGTAGGCCACTCTGAACGAAAAAACCAGGTGAGACACTGAAAGACGGGGATGGGGCCAAAGAACATTCTGTGGCTAAAGAGAACTGAAAGACCCTTGTGATTTGGACTTCTGGGCCTACTGCCTTCCCGCCCTTTGCAAGGGCATTTCAAGAGAAGAATGGCAGAGAGAGAGAGAGAGAAGAGTAGCTTTAGTCTATGTGGAATAGGTGTATTTTCCAGGGGACTGACAGAAGGGGCAGCTTATTTCCACAGGCCGAAAAACCTAGCTAGCCCTGGTTGTCAGAAGCTCTGCCTATTTCTATTTCAAGTCTCACTCCCTTACAGTCTGATCTTTTGGACCCAAATGTATACACACACACACACACTAGAGGCCCGGTGCACAACATTCATACATGAGGGAGGGAGGGTTGTATGTGTCCCTCAGCCCAGCCTGCACCCTCTCCAATCTGGGACCCCTCGAGGGATGTCAGACTGCCCACTGGGATTGTGGCATGCCTCTCTCAATCCAAGATTGCTGCCTCCCAATCGCTCACCTGCCTGCCTGCCTGATTGGCCCTAACTGCTTCTGCCTGCCAGTCTGATTGATGCCTAACTGCTCCCCTGCCGGCCAAATTGCCCCTGACTGCCCTCCCCTGCCAGCCTGGTTGTCCCTAACTATCCTCCTCTGCTGGCCAGGTCACTCCTAACTGACCTCCCTTGCAGGTGTGGTCCCCCCAACTGCCCTCCTCTCTAGGCCTGGTCCCTCCCAACTGCCCTTCCCTGCTGGCCTGGTCACCCCTAATTACCCTCCCCTGCTGGCCTGATTGCCCACCACTGTCCTCCCCTGCTGGCCATTTTGTGGTGGCCATCTTGTTTCCACTTGGGAGCAGCCATCTTGTGTGTTGGAGTGATGGTCAATTTGCATTTTACCCCTTTATTATATAGGAGATATATATATATATATATGCCTTAGTGGCCTGAGGGCAGAGTGAGTCACCCATGGGTGGATGGCATGGGAAGACAGGAATTCAGACCTGCTGAGCAAACCTCTCAGAAGACACACTTTGGAACATGGCAGAACCCACAGGAATCATCCTTACTGACATCCTCTAAATCTCCAGGAGTAAAAGACAGCTCTGCCATATGCTTGTCATCCATGCCCATCTCTTCAATGGGCCAAAAAGTGGGAGTATATACGGGGCAGAGACGGATCAAGAAGCGGAAGACTTAACTCGACCTTATATCCTTGTCAGGATACCTAATGTTAGAAAGCAGAATGAGGATTGTGATTTCAAATCTGCTCTTTGAGCTTAGGAGAGATCCCAGGGCAGATATATCCATTCTCTACTGCTTCTGCCCATAGTGGCCTCTAGAAAGTATAAGCTACCTCTTGATAAGTTGTTTGACCTGAGAAATTTCTACACAAAGCATCTTATTCCCAGTTTACATTAACATTCAAAATCCCTAAAAGTATAGCATCTAACCATAAGCTTCTATGTAACACACACCAGATAGCCCTCCAGTTCTAGGGGGAAGAGAGTCATTCTTAGAAGCCCAGAGCCTAGAACTTTCCCAGGAAAGGGGGAAGAACAGGAGGTCTTCATTTTCCTCCACCTTTCAGATTTCTGAGGAAGAACGGAGTCAGAGCCATGACTCACTGTAACCCTGCTGAGGTGAAGAAACATATTCCCGAAATACACTGATTCTTGGCAAAGCAGATTCTAAATTAGTATTCTTGAGAAAAGGAGAGAAAGAGATACTTTAAAGAAAATGAGCTTCTTAACTTAATAAGGAGCCAGAGGAAGTGCTAACTCTGTCAGGTTTCCTGATGTGCCATTGGGAGAATGCTTTGCTCCTCAATAGACACAGAAATTCTTTATTCTTATTTCTCTCATTAATAAGCTTGGATTCCTAACTTAGATCATACTATAGCAGGGTGCTTGTTTCCGTCAAGTCCAACCCAGAAAGTTTGGAGCTTTTCTTCTACATCGTTTTGCTGATAACTTTACCTGGTTACTCTTTTTTTATTGTTGTTAATCCTCACCCGAGGACTTGTTTTCCATTGAATTTTAGAGAGTGGAAGGGAGGTAGGCATGAAAAGAGAGAGGGAGAGGGAGAAGGAGAAGGAATGATGTCAGAGAGACGCATCGATTGGTTGCCTCCCGCTCGCGACCTGATGCTCCAACCACTGAGCAACACTGCCAGGGCTATCTGGTTACTCTTAATCTTGCAGAAGAGTCTAATCACCCCTGGATAGATAAGGTAAATGAGGAAAGTTCTAAAATTATTTTCTTTGAAGTCTGGTCCATTCATCATTGTGTGGCATCCTGCAGTATAATCTATTTTCTTTCACTTTATTTTCTTTCCCACTCTACAACCTGATTAGAAGAGCTTTAAGCAAAATGTGTGCCAGATTGAGGAACCTCAACTATTTCTACCCAGAAAACAGCATTGCCCTCAGGCCCATTTCCTTCAGAAGCTGCTAATGGTGATGGAGGCAGCATATTTGATGAATTGAGAAAGAACATCTAAGACTACTTTCTCAATTCCTTTACCTATGCTGCACCAAACCCACACAGAATCAAACTAATGGGATTTTGTGGTCCACAGAATGGACCAGACTAGAAAATAGGGAAGATGACAGAAATCTGCCTTCTTTGTAGCATTTACTCCCAGAGCAGAAACTCAGTTTCTAGCTAGCAATAGAACCAGTTAGAGATAGGTATCAGCAAATACAGTCCACACACCATATTCTGTCTGCTGTCCATTTCTAGAAATAAATGTTTATTGGAACACAACCCACCCTATTCATAAACTGTCTGTGGCTGCTTTTGCACAAAAGTAAAGTTGAGCAGTTGAGACAGAGACTGTTCAGCCTGAAAAACGCAAAAATGTAGTTACTGTGTGGTCCTTTACGGAAAAAGGTTGCCAACACCCGACTTAGAGTAGTAGTTAAAAATATATGCTTTGGAGTCAGACAGAGCTGAGTTCAAGTTAGTAAATACCTTGTACTTTTGTGAGGATTAAATGACATAATATGAAGCATTCAAATGTTAGTAGGTGTATGTATGTGTATATATAATACATTAAATTCTCATTCAGCCTAAAACTGAAGCTGCTCATCACTCACTATTTTTTCCTAAAAGAGCAAGACATCATCCTATACCATTATTTTTCTCATATATATTGTAGTTTATAGGTAAACATGGACTCCTGGTTGACTTTCACTTCAAGCCCAAAATACATGTCTCTATCTGAACTTGAAAACCTAAAAGGGCACTAATATCTATGCCTTCTCTTCTTTGTTTACAAGCTAAATATACAACATATGACCCATCCTACCCCATGGGAATGGAGGCAGGCTGGCCTTGGGTTTGCAGTTGCTCAAAAAACACATGGGCACCTACATAAGGCAGGCTGTCACATTGCCCCAGGCCTTCTGTGTTCTCTTTGCCTTTGCCTTGTGCTCCAACAGACACATTATTTCGAAGAGAACAGCCTGAGTCCTGATTGTTCCCTGCTTGTGGATTGATTGGTCTGAGATGGGGGTTTCTCAGCTGCTGTGGCAGACTGTATTTTTGCTAGAAAGGATTCACATATGGGCAGAGAATTGGACTAGATAACTGTAAGTAAGTTCTTACTCTGAGGTTCTATAAGGTATACTCTGGAGGCAGCCTCCTCCCCACACCATCTCAAGGTCAATTTACTCACCAGGGAAGGATGCTGTTGTAATCAGATGCTGGCCTGGTTAAATTTGTCACACCAGGCCATACTAGTGCCTTCTTCCACTGAACTCCTCTGGCACGTAGTGACTGTAACTTCGTGGCAACTAGCATGGGCTTCCTGGTGGGGTTACTTATCTTCCTGTGAACTGTCTACTCCACAATTATACTTGAATAACTAATAGAAATCCCAAATAGATTTTTAATAGTTGTTAAAAAATAAAATTCCTGATTCTTTTTCCCTATCCCTAACCTGTTCCTCCTAGTCTCACCCATTTCAGTAATGACAATTTTATTCTTCCAACTGCTAGGTCAAAAACCTTGAGGTCATTCTTGACTACTCTTTCTTTCAGACCCTTAAACCAATCCATCAAGTAAACTTGTCAGTTCTGCCTTCAAAATATATCCAGAAAATGGTGTGTTTTTTTTTTTGGTCCCCTTTACTGCTATCACACTGCTGAGAGCCGCCTTCATTTTTCACTTGATCAGTCTCCTGGCTTCTACTCTTACAGCCTAATCCACACAGTAGTCTGTGCTATATAATAAGAGGGAGATATGCTAATTATCCATTACACCCTGAGGCATAATGACGACCATGTAACACTGATCACTGATCGGCAGGAGGGTGGGGCAGCAAACTACAAGCAGGCCAGCAGTGGAGAGCTACAGGTCAGGACAGGGCAGGGCAGCAAGCTACGAGTTGGGGGCAAGGGGAGCTTCAGGAGGGCAGTGATATACTGGAGCACCGATTCATGCGCAGGGCTACTAGTACGGTATTTTTTTTTTTTTTTCCCAAACCGATGTGTCTTTTATTCACAAACAGAAGCCACGGGGAGTGTGGTCCGCACGTTTGTACAAAGGGGTGTGCGCCCAGAAAAACGCACCCTGGTCAGAAACCAGCCCGGCGTGGCGGACGCCGCCCCCCGCAGGCTCGCCCTGGCCGCACCCCCCTCCCCCCCTGCCCCAGAGAGCCCCGCCGAGGGCACCGTCGTAGAAAACGTAAGAACGTGGATCCTTTGTCTTCGGATGCCCTGCCAATGCCGCGTCCATAGGCAAAAAGTAGTACGGTAGTTTTTATTTATTTATTTTTTTAAAAAAATATATATTTTATTGATTTTGTACAGAGAGGAAGGGAGAGAGATAGAGAGTTAGAAACATCGATGAGAGAGAGTCATCGATCAGCTGCCTCTTGCACACCCCCCACTGGGGATATGCCTGCAACCAAGGTACATGCCCTTGACCGGAATCGAACCCGGGACCCTTCAGTCCCCAAGCCGACGCTTTATCCATTGAGCCAAACCAGTCCCGGCATACGGTAGTTTTTATAAAAGAAGTCATGTCATGTAACCACTCTGCCCAAAGCCTTATACTGGTTTACCATATTGGATTAGAAGCCAAATCCAATCTGGATAATGACCTATAAGTACCCTGGCCTATAAGTACCTCTCTGATGGTTTCTCCTACGTATCACCCTCCCCATTGCTCACTTTGCTCTGTGATACATGCTCAATAAATATTGAACAGAATAGATTAATCTGTTCTGTCCTTATTCATAATGGATAAACTCCCTGTAGAGAGGGATTTTGTTATTTTCTCCTTTGTGGTCCTAGGAGCTAGCAAGTGTTCAAACAATGTTTGCTGTAATCGGGATGCAAACTTGGCTCTGAAAACCTTCAGTTTGTACCAGATCGTGCCGTGACATTGGTATTTCATACTCCTTTTCCAAGGTACCAAAGTTCTTTGGTCCAAAACCTGCAGGATTGTGGGTGTTTTGTGGCATTATGAATGATTAAACTATAGGGCACCACCCATGGCTCTGACAGAGATTCTGATCAGGAAGATGAGATACTCAGAGTACAGAGCTAGTCATTTCATGGTCTGGTGGCTTTGCTGTGGTCTACCATCCTTCCCCTGGCCTTCATTTCTAATTCTAGTGACTTCTGCTAAAACATTTGCTTATATGCAGAATCAACCACAGACAGGAAAACAAAACTCTATTGCTGGACAACTAAAGGATGGACTGATAGTCAATAATATTATGATATTGAAAAGACTGCACATTATCCTATGACAGGACTGGTTTTAAAAAATCAAAAAGTCCTTACCTCAATGAGGAGATCATTTCTGAGCCTGGTAGCTAAAACAAAAGAAACTCTAAGAGTGGAATCTTTTTGTTTTTTCCCCCCAATTTCATGAACTTTGAAAAAAATAATAAATCAAATAAAATATTACTCATATCTCTGATGCTGGCTCTTAATCTAACAGAAAACAACAACAATAACTAGCACAAGATGAAAAGACAAACAAAATAAAAGAGGCAGACATAAGAAATAAGTTAATTATGCAATTAATTTGCATAGCAGACTTTGTATCAGCCAACTACACGCAATAGGATTAGGGCAAACACCCATCCCTGGGCCAAGAGAACAAGACCACATTTGATTGCCAATAGGTATTCTTGGCCAATCCAAAGAAAGTTGGCAGGCTAGTATCACATAACAAAAATTACAGAAACAGCTTCACAAAAGGTAAATAATACAGAAAACCCAGCAATGTCATTCTAATATAGGTTACTACCGGTAGTAGGAGAAAAACCTACAATCTTCTCACTGGCACATACCCCAGAGTCAACTAAAACTAATCTGTTTCCCTCCTTACCTACTCTCTCTGGTGATCTCCTGCCTGTTCTTGTCCTCCTCTTGAGTTTGTACCATATGCCTATTTAATCAATTTTGGTATCCTCAAAATTTTACTTCAGTGTGAGAAAATTGAGTCAACACTGGTCTATACTACAAGAGATATCCACAGAATGAAGTGAAATAGTACTTATAAGGTTACTCTTAAGATCATATGGAGGCAGCAAAATCAGTTCCAGGAGAGCTTCAGCATGCCACCTCACCCCAGGGCCTGCAAACTGCGGCTCATGAGCCACATGCAGCTCCTTTGGCCCCTTGAGTGTGGCTCTTTCACAAAATATCACAGTCTGGGCGAGTCTATTTTGAAGAAGTGGCATTAAAAGAAGTTTAAGTTTAAATATGTGGATCTCAAAAGAAATTTCAATCGTACTGTTGAAATTTGGCTCTGTTGATTAATGAGTTTGTCGACCACTCACTGTTCTTACCCTACCACCCTACCACCATTGGCCTGGCTGTGATCTGTTCTAGCTCTTCAGTGCGATCATTTGCACATTAAAGGTGTGAGAACAGTGAGAGAGGAGTATCAATTCAAGGGCAATGGGGAGGAGGGGAGAGGAAAAAGGGGGGAGGAAGTGTGAACCATGGTTCTGAGTCTCACAGTAAACGGCTAAGTGTTACATCCATAGCAATAACCTGCTTTTTGACGATGCTTCCTTCTTCCTGCCTACTGCCTGTGTTGTAAGCTATCAGCTTCTGTGTGGTTCAATGAGACAGACTGGAGTCAGAAAGACAGATGGGATTCTTCCTACACAGGATGAAGCAGTATAAAGAATGCTAGGCAGAAGGATGGGAAGGTAGTTTCTCAGGGATAGGAAACTCCTTGACAGCTCAGGACAACAAAACGTCAATCATATCTTAAATCCAGGCTGAAGGAAAGAAAAATATTCCACATTTTACTTCCTTTCCTAATACTTCCTTCTTTATTGGTTAGTGTGGCTTCAGGAGCTAGGATTATTGTGGCGGGGACGTAAGACCTGGACCTGATTTGCTAAAGAAATCTAGATTTCTTTAAAGTCAAAGAAGAGAAGAAAGAGTTATCGTTTTTCCTAGGAATACATTTCAGTCACCACTCTGAGTGAGCATGAGTCTGATTGACAATCCTGTGACTTGTGCAGGAAAAATACCTTTGAAAAAAAAAAAACAGAACAAGCTAACTGGGTAGACATCCCTGAATGTAAATAACTAAAAATGACTATCCCAATGGGAGGGAGGACAAATTTGATCTTGGTATCTGTCATTAGGGTTGTTTAAAAAGATAGATTCAGGAGCTCTGCCCTCAACAGTCATTCTTGGGCTGGAAATTACAATCTCAGTGAACCAGGCTGACATGTCCCCCCACCCAACCCCCCACCAAATTAAACATTCCAAAAGCTCAAAAATACTTAAAAATTATAGAGTACCTATTTCATTTAAAAGGCATTTAATCAATGCTTCATAAATTATTGTCCTTATGATTAAAATGGTCATGAAATTTAAGGAAACAAGTAAACTACAAGAAAACTCCGGATAAAATTACAAAGCTAAACATACATCTGGCCCAGCCCTGCTACAGTGACGGAAGAACGAGAATTAATTACAATTCTTTAAACTAGTAACCCTTAACCATCCATCTCCCTTCCATAGCTAGAGGGCAGGATGGTCTTTGAACCCAGACCTCCAGTCCTGGGGGGTTCTCCTTCATGAGAACAAGCCAGCCCCTCCCCCAACACCAGCCCCAGCCCCAGCCCCAGCCCCCAGTCCCAGCCCAACCCTAGCCCCAGCTCTAACCCCCAGCCCCAGCCCCAGCCCGTCCTAGCCCCCAGTCCCAGTCCCAGCCCCCCCAGCCCTCAGTCCCAGCCCCAGTCCCCAGCTCCCAGCTCCCAGCTCCAATCCCAACCCCCAATCCCCAACCCCAACCCCAGCCCCAGCCCCCAGCCCCCAACCCAACCCTAGCCTCAGCCCCAACCCCCAGCCCTAAGTCCCATCTCCCCCCCCCCCCCCCCAGTCCTCAGTCCTCAGTCCCAGTCCCCAGTCCCCAATCCCCAGCTCCCAGCTCCAGCCCCAACCGTTAGCTAGTCAGTGAGACGTAGCAGCCCGGTTTCCATCTATTTGGGGGGTGGGAAGGGCGGGTAGGAGAGGAATAGGAGGAAAACTGATTAGGATGAAGAGATGCCTGTGGTTCAAGAATCCTTTCCGTTCCATCCTCCTTTTCCTGTCACCTTTCAGGATGCAAGGTCAAAGTCAGATAAGAACAACATCAAACGGAGAAGATTGTGCATAGGGGCAAGATGGAGTCAACAAAAGTCATTTCATCCTGTGACTGCCAAGAAAACCCCCTTCCCACTTCGTCCTCTCCTCACGCCCACTAGGAGCCCCCTCTGTCTGGCTCCTGAGACAGGCCGAGCATCCCGCAAGGCTGCCCCGGCCGCGAGGCTCCAGCCCCGCGCGATGCAAATCAGTCCCGGGGATAACGGAAAAGGGAGGCCACTGGGGCGGGCGAGAAGGCGGGGCAGGGTCTTCGCCTCTAGAGCAGACCCGCAGGGGGCAGGCGGAGCAGGAGTGCGGGAGGGGCACCAGGACCCTGAGAGCCCCTGGGGCAGGGGATGGATGGAGAGGCATCCGGAGCAGCAGGGAGTCAGAGGGCAGCGGCGCGGGGGCCCGGGGCGGTGACTCAGTGAAAGCGGCGATGGGCGGGCCCGGGGCCGCGGGGCGCGCGGGGGGGCCGGGGCGGGCGCGGAGCTCACCGTGTCCTTGGACGAGCCCAGCTTCCTGAGGCCGTCCAGAGGCAGGAGGTCGGCCGAGTCCTTGTGGATGAACTGCACGGCCTGCTTCATCCGGCGCTGCTGCCGCAGCGACGCCGCCTCCCGCAGCTCGGGCTCCTTGCGGCCGCCGCCCTCGGTCAGGAGCCCTGAGTAGAACATCGCGCTGAGGCCCCGCGGGCGCCGCTCCGGGATCCCGGGCTCCGCGTCCTCGAGCTCCGCCGGCGCCGCCAGCCCCGCGCGCCGCGTGCTTTATAGCCGCGCGTGACGTCACGGCGGCCAGCCAATGCGCGCGCGGGGGTGGGGCCGGCACAGCGACCCCAGCCGGCCGGGCTCTCCGCCTCGACGTCTGCGGAGCATCCCCGCGCCCGCCCCTCTCGGGGGAAGAGCCGGTGAGGAGTGGCGCTGGCGGGACTGACCCGAAGCGCCAAGGGTCCACCACTCCCCCCTCCGGTTGTGGGTGCCCCGCATCCCCTGGACCGGGATGAGGTGCGGGCCCCACGCCGGAGCAGCGCCCCAGATCTGCTCCCCCCCCCCCCCGAGTTTCTGCTTACCAGTCCACGCGGTGGCCGACCCCGGGATCACGGACAGCTGGGCCATGTCCCCCAAGTCCCGCCGTCCGCGCCGCTGCTCGGCTTTGCAAGGTGCCACCCCGCGCCCCCTCCCCCAGAGCTCCCGCACCCACAGCCCGGGCACCCCCAGCCCCGGGCTCGGGAGGACGCGCGCGCGCGACGCACTCAGCAGCAGGGATCGCTCAGGATGTCTCTAACTTCAGGTCGGTCCCCACCCACCAAGCCACGTGACTGGGGAGGGGGCAGCCCCTGCAGGCCGGTTGGAGCTGGCCTTCCGGGGACCCTCCCTCCGCCCGGCACCCTCTGCCGGGCACCCTCTGCCGGTGAGGCAGGGCGGGGCGGAAGCCTGGGGTGAGGAGAGGCGAGGGTCCCAGCCTCCGCGCGACTGCACACCAGTGCGAGCCCTGCACCTGCTCGCTGGAACACCTGGCGGAAAAGCACGTTTCAAAGCTCAGCCAGCGCTAGGGCTAGCAGTCTCTGCAGCATGTTTCCAGAAGCAATTGGAATACGTTTGTTTGTTTGTTGTTCATGAATCATCTCTCAAGCCATTCTCATGGGGCCTTCGAGCATCCTGGGCTCTGGCCTCCACGTTGTGACTTTAAGCAAACTTACATTTCCACCCTGCGAACAGCCACTGCCCTCTCCCAGCCCATCTCCCTGGAGCAGCCCTGAAGCAGAAAGATCTGCTCTCTGTAGAGAAGGACCATAAAAGTAACAATAACGACATTTACTGAGTGTTTTACCATGTGCCAGATATTGAAATAAATATTTAAAATGTAGTACCTCACTGAATTGGCAACAGCTTCAGAAGTATATTATCATTATCCCCACTTTACAGGCAAATACTTGAGACCTTTTTTTAAACACAATAAAACAAAACAAAACACCTGAGACCTCTTAACTGGTCTCCTGACTTCCGTGCCTCGGTTACCTTCCAGTTCCTTGCTTTCCACTGCCAGGGTAACCTTTTCAAACTACAGCCATGGTCACCTCACCTCCCTGCTTTGATCACCTCACAAGGCTTCCTGTTCCTCTTAAGATAAAGACCCACCTCCTTGCCTGGTCTGCTCCCACCTGCTTCTCCCCGCTGCACTCCAGTTCCTTCGAGGAGTCACTCTCCCTTTTGCCAAGGAGTCTGCTTTTGAATATCCTGTTCCCTCTGCGTATAAACTATAATACTTTGCTCAGTAAACAGACAGCCCTCAGCTTCATGATTGTTCCCCCTGGACCCCAGCTCCACTTTCATTTATTTAGGAAAGTGTTCTCTAACCTTCCAGAGAGGGTGATTCTCCCTAATCATATCCTATGCCTTTCTCTGAACATTTCACACTTTTTTTGGTGATGGTGGTGGAGGGAAGCTGTTATTGGTTGTCTGATTTAATCTTTTTTTTTTTTTTCTTATCACGGAATCCAAATAGGAGGCTCTCAATCAACACTGAGCGTAAGCATGGCAAGAAGTTAAGGACTTGCCCAAGGAAAGCGAGTGGTAGAGCTTGGCTTTTAAAGAAGGCCAACTGCCTGCTCTCCCGGAACCTGTGCTGGACCTTCCAGACCTGGAAGGGCTGGGTTTGACATCATGAACTTGCTTTTACCCTCCAGTCCTACCTTCCACACTCGCCCTAGATTCAGAGCTCACAGATTGCTCGTGGGAAAATAAATCCAGAAGGCTGCTCACCTGGCTTCAAGGATTCCCCTGTCCCCCAATTCTGCAGGGAGAGCAGCAGCGCCTCCTGGACACAAAGTTCAGGAGGGGGTTGGGATTGCAGCTCACCTTCCAGCCCCCTGGCGCGCTCCCAGCAGTGAACAACGGCGACTGTCCTGGCCCCTTCTGTTCTGTCGCCTGGATCCCTGCCTGGTCACTCCCCCAGGTGAGAGTCGCCCAGGGAACAGCGAAAGACAGCCTCGCCTTGTCTGTCTAGGACAAGTGCCCCTGAGCTCAGCAAAGCATGGGGACAGGCCGGGGCTGAGGCTGGGACAGCTCCTCTCCTCGGGGAGGAAGCCAGGCTGGCAGATCCCAGTTCCCCCCTCCTCAGGCAGCTCAGCTCAGTCTGGCAGCCTTTTTTTTTTTTTTTTTTTTTTTTTTTTTTTTTTTGCTGAGGATGGCCCAGTGGAAGAAAGGGGAAGCTTTCATTGCGAGAGAGCCCCCGGGGGAACACCAGGAAGCCGAAGCTCTCTGGCTGAACTGGAATTTGTCCGTATCAAGTGTTGCTGAAAAAGAAATAGGGCCTTGGCTGGAGCTGGGAGTCTGTGAATGCAGCGCAGCTCTTTGCCGTCTTGGGGTGTGTCCTGCAGCGGGATCTGTGGCCACGACACCAGTTGGCCCCCTCGTCTGTCAGAGATCGTCCTTAGCCACACTGAGACCATGGCGGCCCATCAGCACGGGTCAGTGTGGCGAGGCCAGCCCTCCCCCGGCCCCGCCCATGCGCACTGTGAGTTTATGCAGACTGTGGATTGGCTGCTTCGTTTGAGGAGCATCACCTCTGGGCAGCTTATCCAGTTTGCCCGAATGACCGTTGAGCTGGTCCCTTCCTACCTCTAAGCCTGAGTTTCCATATCTGTAAAATGGGTACAGTGAGACTGCAGGTGAACTTGGGCTTTGTAAGCTCGAGGGGCTGTACCAACAGAAAAGATCATTCTTAATTCTCCAATAGCCAAGCTCCCCTACCTGCACTGACTCATCTTGGAAGAAGTATAATATTGTTAAAACAAGGGTTTTAGACTCTGATTCATTAGGTTTCAATCTCTGTTCTGCCACTAGCTATATGACTAGGAAGTTACTTTATCACTGTGAGTTTCTTTCCTTCTTTTTTCTTTTATTTTTTTATTTTTTATTTTTTTACATAAAATATTTTTTTATTTGTCAAAAAATGTACCCCCTCCTAAACCGGTTTGGCTCAGTGGCTAGAGCGTCAGCCTACAGACTGAAGGGTCCCGGGTTCAATTCCGGTCAAGGGCATGTACATTGGTTGCTGGCACATCCCCAGTGGGGGGTGTGCAGGAGGCAGCTGATCGATGATTCTCTCTCATCGATGTTTCTAACTCTCTATCCCTCTCTTTTCCTCTTTGTAAAAAAATCAATAAAATATATTTAAAAAAATGTACCCCTAACAAGCAAACTACAAAGTGGGGAATTTACCTGCAAAATACATGATTAAGGGGAACTATTAAGAATTTTAGAAATTAGTGAGAAATAAGACAAGCATCTCAATGACAAAAGCCTCATAGACATAATTCACAAAATACAAAATTAGTAAAGAAAATTTTAAATATACCAAGTTTTGTCTATTAAGATGACAAAGAGAGAAGAGAGAACATAGCCAGTGGTGGTATATAAAGTGTGAAAAACCGCTGACGAACATTTTAGTAGCAACATGACAATATATACCTTTTGACAGTACACACTTCTGAATTTCTTCTAAGAAAAATAAGCATGTATAAAGATTTAGTTAGAGTTAGACTGCTGTGGCCAATAATAAGAGTAGGCTAAATAAACTGTGGTAAACCCATTTAATGAAATACTATGCATACATTAATGTTGCTGAAATATGACACAGAAAGACATTCACCACTTAAATTTCTAAAAACTCTTCAATGGAGGCCAAAAACAGCATCATCAGGGCGAACGAATTTTTGTAAATACAAAATATGTACTGAAAAAGTCTGAGGGTAGACAGCAAAGTATGATATTTTCCTTTTCATTTGTCTGCCTTTCTACAATGTGCACAGATTACCTGTCTATTTCGCTTGGTTTTTTAAATATATATTTTATTGATTTTTTACAGAGAGGAAGGAAGAGGGATAGAGAGTTAGAAACATCGATGAGAGAATCATCGATCAACTGCCTCTTGCACACCCCCTACTGGGGATGTGCTCGCAACCAAAGTACATGCCCTTGACCAGAATTGAACCTGGGACCTTTCAGGCTGCAGGCTGACGCTCTATCCACTGAGCCAAACCGGTTTCTGCTGCAAAAAATCCTAGTTTCAAAGCATCACAGTTTGAACTTAATTGAATAATTTCGGGTTAAATGCACCTGTTCAAAATCCAAAGTTCATCATTTTGTTTGGAACAATTTTTCAGAACCACGTGGTCATGTAAATAAGGAAACAGAGGTAAAATGACGAGAGAGCAACCGACAAAATAACCACAAGCTTTGTCTCAATGGCTATTGCAGTATAATAAATAAAATGACAACCAAAACCCCCTTTACTTTAGTTTTCAATGTTCTTTTCCCCCAAGATAAACATGATTAACTTAAAAAATGGCATTTACAATGCCTCTTCAAAGCATTCCCCTTTAACGGGAAACTTGGCTTCACAGAATCCAGACAGTGAAAGGTTTAAAAATTATATTTTGTTGCCGAAACCGGTTTGGCTCAGTGGTAGAGCGTCGGTCTGAAAGATCCCAGGGGCGTGTACATTGGTTGCGGGCACATCCCCAGTAGGGGGTGTGCAAGAGGCAGCGGCAGCTGGTCAATGTTTCTCTCTCATCAACGTTTCTGGCTCTCTATCTCTCTCCCTTCCTCTCGGTAAAAAATCAATAAAATATATTCTTTAAAAAATTATATTTTGTTGTCATTAGAAGACAAACAGAATCTAATGTAAGTCAAGGAAATCCATTCATACTTCAAGTCTTTCTCCTTCAGGAACCAACATTGTTATATTACTTCCATTTAGCAAAATCTGGTCTAATTTAGTGATCCTTCTTCCTTCTGGTGTGATTTCAAATTCAGAGACATCTTCCAGTACCATATTGACAAAGTCATCAATCCTAGAAGCGTGCCAACAATTTCCTTATCACTCCTCATCACGATGTGAATTCTTGATCCTACACACTTGTCCACAAGCCCCAGAGGCAGCAGCTACGATGGGTTGCTGGTAACGTTGGCCGCCATGGCGACGCCGGAAGTGCCATCACTGTGGGTTTGGATCCCTCATCTAAAAAATCATGCCAGTAACATATCTACCTCTCAGGACTGCTGTGAGGATTGGTTAAATGAAAAAAATACAGCCATGGTTGCTTTGGCTCAGTGGATAGAGCATTGGATTGCGGACTGAAGGGTCCCAGGTTCAATTCCAGTCAAGGGCACATGCCCGGGTTGGAGCATGCAGGAGGCAGCCAAATATCAGTGATTCTACC